GACCAAAATGTCAACACCGAGGCTTCTAATAATAATAATAATAATAATAATGGATTGGATTTATATAGCGCTTTTCAAGGCACCCAAAGCGCTTTACAATGCCACTATTCATTCACTCTCGCATTCACACACTGGTGGAGGCAGCTACGGTTGTAGCCACAGCTGCCCTGGGGCAGACTGACAGAAGCGAGGCTGCCATATCGCGCCATCGGCCCCTAAATTCAAGTCCAAAACCAACTGGTAAAATTATTGTGGCTGGGTCCTTTTTTAGTATACAGTCTATGTTTTTAATGTATGGCTGTATGTTTAACATCTCTGAGTGATAGTCAGAGTCTATCTTTGCAGAACAGACCCCAGAAATGTAAATCCGTACATTACTTCACATGTACTGGAAACCTCCCACACCGAGACAGACGTTTCTGGGTTAGTTTGAGCTCTGCTCATTCATTTACCCAACAGATCAGTCAGTCCGGCCTCAGTTAGTCACTGGCCTTGAAGAAAAGTAGACTCATCCCACTCTTTGCAGCAGATAGTCATCCATCAGCCAGTGGATTATAAACCCCTGCTGAGATAGCTGATGATGGCTGGTGACACACTGGCGGTGGGAAGTGGTGTTGTCATGCCAACTGCAGAGGTTTTAGCCGTCTCGACGTCAACCGGAGAAACAGCTGTTAGTGGGTGGATTAACACTGCGCTCTGCCCAGCTATTACCGCATCATGTGTTAGAGACTACGACTGGGAAACAAAACATTAGCCTTTACATCATTTACAGATTAATGACCTCTTATCTGAGCATGCCTGTAGCACATGACGGCACACACATGCAACAAAAGCACAATGGGAATCACTTAGTGAAGCAAATAAATTTATTAATAAATCAATTATTGAAATTGCTTTCATTAAGAAATATAACTAGCATTCATACAGAATATTACAGCATTTCCCTTTAGACGTACCATAAATATATTACAGTATATTTATGGTACTAATGACATCTTACACAAATATGCAAAATACAAACTTAATATAAAATTAGGCACTTGCTGAACGAATGCTGCATACATACAGATTTAGCTTAAAGCTACAGACGACAGAATAAATTACAATAAAGAAAAGGGAATTTGTTTCACTTTGGCTAACATGGATGGGCTTGATAACAGAAACTAGAGACTGCATCTCACTGCACGCCACAATAAAGTGAAGAATGGCACGTCCATAAATGTTAGCATTCATATTTGATCTTGCCTTTGATTTTTATTCTTATGGTAAAACTACTAATCAGCATAAAGGATAAGCAATTATCTTTGATTAGACTTGCACATCAAAAAATGTAATAAAAATCATTAAAGAATAAATTTTGTGATTTTTCCATATTAATAAATCCCATGAAAACCCAACAGCCAACAACACACTGTGTACATATCCAAAAACATGTGCCATCCAGATCACTGTATTACCGGGTGACATGTCCCTCCATTAAAATGAATGCACAGACTATTTTGTGCTGTATAACATTTATTGCACTAACTGTGCATCAATGTATTTCTGATGCAGTGGTTACATCCACAACGACTGTATGTGTGCTTCAGTAACCTTTGCTAAATCTACAATGCCCAGGTGTTTTATGAAAGTACTGAAGATTATTGTGAAAATGAAATTGCATGTTTGTCATCTACACTACATGACATCAGATATAGTTTTCAGTCATGCTCCCAGTGCAGAGCTGTGGAGCACAAAACACACTTGATCCACTGCAGACCTGCAGCACTAATTTTCCATCAGTTTCAAAACACGTATGTTTAAATAACCTCAAGGTATAAAAAAACCAAAATACAGGTGAATGAAATGTAAGCTATTGGAGGGTTAGTTATGTTTTATATATATATATATATGTTTTTTAGGTTCTATAATGCTTCCATCTGGAGCTGAGGGCATGAAATTCTGTCAAAGACAAGGTGAGTAAGTATGTGTGTCAGTATTTACAGACAGTAAAGAGGCAGAGCTATTCTGGATAGGTTTCCAACTTGAATCAATGAAATGGCCCAATATTGACAGGCTGGCTGTGAAGTTGAAGGTGCTGAAGGTTTGATTTGGCCACTGCTCTTAATTCAGAGACTATAATTCACATGTAGTTGTGAACAGAGTGGGTAGTCATTAGTGCATCAGATTTAATAACTATTCGGAAATGTGTAAAATCAAAGCTGGTAAAGACGCCTGTCAAAGAGCACAGGTAAGGTGAGTGTTCCTATAAAGATGTGACAAAGCTTTTCACTGGCTCCAAGACAAAGAGATCTTCTCCTTTCCTTCATATTTATTAAGATCTTTGTCTCTGTATTTAAAGGAGCTTTGTTTCTGATCGTTTATAGTTCCTGCCTTGTCTTGTTGCAGGTGTACTCTCCCTCTTTATTGCCACACCTCTCGACTCCAGGATGACTGAAGAATTGTATAAACCTGAAGGATCTTCATCGCCTTGAAGGATGGTACAGCCAGCCTAGCTGGGCAGGCAGCCAAGTGATTTGACCGAGGAAGCAAAAACAGAGAAGGAGGGAGGAATGGGGGCAGGGAGAGAGGAGAAAAGAAGCAGAGCAAGTACAGGAAAGGATCCCGGGCAGGGCTTTGTTCACCAACCCCCTTTAACTTAAGAAAGCAACGAGAGAAGCGCTGAAGTGAGAAGTGACACCGAGTCCATCCTAATGATGAGCGGTGAATAGCCGCGCAGAGAGGAGGAGAGGAGAGGACAAGCCCTGTGGGAGATTACTGCATGTTGGAGGATATGGAGAGCTGCAGTGTTATAGCTAACACACACACACACACACACACACAGACTTTGCTGAGCTCCTCTGAAAACCACCTATTAGCGCTGCCAATGTCACTTCCTTAATCCACACCACGAATGCACCAATTTCCCCAAACAACTCTGTGTCTTATCAAGCAACAGGACAAGGTCATCCAGCAGAAAAGCTCTGAGGTAAAAATGGGGGAGAGGGGCACTCACAAGCTAATTTAGATAAATGACTTGTTCATACAACACTCAGACACAGTCGGAGAACTGTGGCTAAAACGACTGCTAACAAGTTTTCCTCTCAGTTGTGACGAAGCCTGCCTCTTCAACTAGGGCAGACACAGAGGGAACTCCATTGCTAACCTTGGGCTGTTGTTCCTTAACCCAGATTCTTTCCTGTGTCTTTACACAGAGACAATGCGGCCCTGTGACTGTGGGCAGAATAATTATATAGTACTAAAAGTTTCCGATAATCTTTGGACTCAACAAAAGCATCCGACAGCATAACTGTTCCTTCCCTATTTTAGAACCAACCTGACTTTCATTAGCAGATGTTTTTGGTGACAAATGACAAATCAGAAAGAACCCATTTTAATTTTAATTTTATTAGTATGTTAAGTGCTGCATTTAGCTCAATACCTGCGTCTGTGAAGTTCTTGAATGCAGCTTTCTAGCTATAAAAATGTTGTTGTCAAGCATTTTTTTCTTAACAAGTAGAAATGTCATCGGCTGATCAAAATTATGAACTTTTATCAAAAGACCCTGAAAAACCAACTAAATGAGGTTATGTGTGAATGATTTTAAAACTGCCAGAGTCAAGAGTTTTTACTTTTAAGCTTATATATTTGTTGCATGGTAGCAAAACTGTATGTACACAAGAAAAGCAAAGAGTGTTGTTGCTGACTGAAGATGAGCATCAGGCTTTCATCGACTGTAGTTTCACAGCCATCTGTGTTTACAATTCAAGATCTACTCTGCAGGAAGCTTCCTGGTTTTGTTTGTATGTGCACTGCTGAAAACCACCAAAATTTGAATATCACCATCCAATGCACATAAAGACAGATATTGCAATTTTTATGCTGCCACACTTTGTTGTAATTATTCTAAAAAAAACACAAAAACAGCATATTGGAATGTGCTAACAATGGACACTCACCTAACAGCTTGTAAGAACATTACAAACCAGACCCAGAGCCACTTTCACGCGCTGATGATTAGATTAGTACAATTTGGCTTTTCACACTTTGAGAAGTGTGATTCATTTTTTTTAGTGAGATAAGATGTAAATGAAGTCTCTGAATAGACCACAAAATATACGAAAAGTCATGGGGACAGCAGTCTGACTAAAGACGTCACACCCTTCTGTCCTCGCTCCTTCTTGGTGGCTACCAGCCAGCCTCTCTGAGCCAAGAAGTGAAGAGCGAAAAGAGCTAATCAACACACACAGACTCCCTCAATCGCACTCACACACACTCACTCACTCTCCTTTGATGAAGGGGATATTTGTCAAGTGGAAGCCTATTCCAAAGGACTAAGGGCCACTACAAGTCATCAGGCTATTCACTAGACACAAAGACAGCAAATGAGAGTGCATTTAGGAGCTGGAGTTCACATGGGATTATACAGTACTGGCCAGTAAGAACACGAAGTCTCACGTTTGGAGAAAATATGGACTGAAAACACTTGTAGGGAACAAAGTAACGCTTATGTCATCATCCACTTATTTGACTTTTGTTAACGAGTTACAGAATCCCTGTTTACACCGAATGCAGTGTAAGTTCTGCATGCACACATATTTGCACTGCTGTTCACAAACAGCACGTTCTAACCTCATATGTATAAGCAGCGTTAGCGTGTTTATTATAAAACTGCAGACATCGCACAGAAACTATAAGATTACAAGATTAAAATTAGTAGATTTTTTCCGTGTTGCTGGCTGCAAAGTTCAGGATGTGCTCAACACATCCAGCTCAACACCCTGTGACTAAAACTAAAAGAAAAATGTGCTATTTGATTCTCGCTCACTGTCCTTTTATGTGATTGTAACTATTAAAACAAAACAAACTATAAGTGGACAACCTTCCACTCACCGCTTACGCAGGCAAGTCTGCAACTAAAGTAATTATAATTAAAGTTATTTAGAAAACAAAAACAGGTTTCTACTGTTTTAAAGCAATTTAGATGAATTAAAGTCATACATGAATTTTCTCTTACTTAATTTTTTATGGTTTCACTTTTGATGTGGCTCCTACACACGGAGCTGCAGGGATTATGAATTGCTGCAAAGCCTTTGGATTTTTTTTTTTTTTGTCTCTTATGCAACATCAGTGGTTCTGAGAACAGTTGCTGCATAATCTCCTCTCACCTCCACTCAAAATAATCAATGCACAATAAAAAAAAATATTGCACAAAGCAAATCATTTCAATTTTTGATTCTAAAAAAAGAACAAACACCTCTTTGGTGCATAATCATATAGTGCATATAAACCCCCCCGCCTAGAATTCAACTGAAAATTCAAATTTGGCATTGCTTTCCAAACTGAGGACCGAGCTGCTCTGTCACATTATTAGCAGCTCTGCAAAACAACACAACAAGTGAATCATCATCATTATTATTCAAGACAGCTTCAAAATCAGCTGCTTTTTCTGTCTCGGCCCACTTTAGTTGCCAGGAACAGCCAGGATGTACCCAGACCGGCTCTTGGTGAAGTCCGGCTGCGACTGGTTGATCTTGGGCTCAACGATGACCGTGCACTTTCTGCCATTCATGCTGCACTGGATGGGACTCGCAATGTTCACCTGCAGCTTCCTCTTCTCACTGTGGAAGGAGAATACAAAGACAGAAATACCTGTTAGAATTCAGACAAATTACTGAACACTGATTAGACGTTCTTAATGAAAATATCTGCAAACATAACCTCGGATTATTAGTCTGGTCATTACAATCAGAAAATATTTGCAGCCTCACTGGTTTCACTGTTTAATGCACAGAGATAAAATAAGCAGATCCATTAGTAACCAGAATGTGTGTACGAGGGAGAGCACAGGTACAAGCCATTAATCATGTTTACTCCAAAAACACAGCATCATAATCTTGGAAATACACCACAGTCACACACACACACACACACACACACACACTCACACACACGCGCTCATGTTGTAAATATATGTATATGCTGTATATGCACAGTCACACTCACGCAATAATAATAAATCTTGGAGCCACAAATCTTGCTCAGAAAAAAACTCTCCTTTCATAAAAACAAAATCCTTCTCAGTCATGCACACTGTCAGACTCACATATGTACACACAGACACACTTTTATGAAACCAGGTACTGTTGTGCACAACAATGACAGAGCATATAAGATAGAAAAACTGCTTTTAAGTGAGATGGAAAAAAATATCAGAGGGAAGTGATCCAAATATACCATAAAAATAATTTTTTTTAATTCGTATTTATTTAAAAAGGGACAATGCAATCTAACATAGTCCTCATATGGAGCATGAAACTGATGTGCCGCACATACAGTCTATAGCTATTGCTAATTTCCAGCTCTTGTCCATTGTTGGGCTTTTACATCCACTGTCTACAAACAAAATTACAACATAATAATTCTGTGTAATGCTTAAAATAAAAGTCAGAAAAGATATATGATTAAATTAAGATGTATAAAGTGAAATACAAAATCTAATTAAATTATAAAGTGTATTAAATTAAAAACACAGTTGAAAGACCTCGAGTTGCTTAAATTTGAGGTCAGATTATTAAAGAGTTTTGGGGAATTATTAGCGGCGGCTAACTTGCCTTTTAGTTTTGAACTCAGGAATCAGCTTAAAGGATTGTGGCAGAAGATCAAAGAGATCCTTTGGAATTTTATTCACGTAACACCAACTAACAGATGTCACCCTGGGTCACTTTACATAGAAAGTCTTATAGAGAGAAATCTAACAATCCCCCACTGTGCACTCAAGCAACCACAGACTTATTACAAGGTCAGAAAGGGACAACAAAAACCCCATCAGCCGGTTCATGTGGAGATTTTAAATTTGGAGAGAGGAGGAGAAATCCAGTCTACTAAAGAAAAAAAAGCATGCACTAACTTGCAGTAGTGTACAAAATGTGATCTTTAAGTTTAATGACTTCAGCCGTAAAATTCAAAAACATTATCTGATTAAATCTAGCTGATTGGGGTTTTTTTAGTTGTTTTTTTAGATTGCTTCATCCTGTCGCCTTGCACATGTGCCTCTGTGATGTGCATTCAGTGTGTCAAAACAGAAACCTGCAACTGGGATTAAATTTGCTGAACGAGGATGAAGCTGCAGATAGTCAAATGTGACGAGCAGGTTTCGTGATGACCCAAGACTCAAATAAGTGTTTGACCCTGAGGAAAGAATTCACGGTGCACAACCCCGCTGAAGAATGACAAGCATGGCATGAATACTTATCATAGAACTAGTTCTTATTACTAGTGATGATTCTCAACATGAAAACTGATCCATGGTGAAATTACATAGTGCACATCCAAGTGTTGAGGGGACCTCCATGGAGTGACAGCTGTGCTGGAAGCAGTCCAGAACTGCACAAGGAGGGAAACCTCCAAGGGGAGATCGGCCAAAATGTGTTTTTTGCAGCAAAGATTCGATCGCACCTCACATTGGATATGTGATGCAGACTAGTTTGTAAGCTGAATCTTTTAAAGACCTGTATGGTCAAGACAGCAGAAACACTGCCGCTGCACCCTGTTCAAAGCCACAGCACGAAAATACACGGGTACAGTAGAAACACTGCACACCCATGTAGGCGTTTTAAATTACTGTGGCTGTAAACGTTACAGACCTACTCTAATGTCTGTGTCATGTGATCTAGTGTCAAATCAGTCTAAACCTAGAAGTGTGACTGCTAGTAGTGTATAAAGCATGCTAGCGTTAATAGACAGCAGCACTAGTAGTAGTGGCTGCAGTTAACTAAGTTTTTGCAGAAACTTGCCGAGCCTTTTCTACTCGGAATCAGCCACTGAAAACCATCTGAACTATATTTCTATAAAAGGGCGCACATAGTATTTTGTTTACATGCTGCTCAAATGGATCATTAAAGGTAGTAAATGGCCAGTATTTGTGTACCAATTTGAAACGAATACTCGACGAGTACAAACTGGCACCGTGCTGGTTTGGTCCTGGAACGTGCTCGATGATCCAGGCTGTCAATCAAAGCACGTCTGTTTTTCTCACCTGAACCCTTAGACGACAGCTATTCACTCTAACAACAAAAATAAAAACTGGTGTGTAGGTGGACCGTGATGTGAAGCTATTTGCTGGAAATGTCAATTAAATACAACTTAACATGATAGCTGCAGACTGCCTGCACTCATTCTCATCCAATAACAATCACACGATGTAGTATATAAAATATGGATGTAGCCTCTGGGTCTGAAAAGTAAAGTTATTATAGATAATGCATTAAAACTGGTTTCCTTTTAATGGAAAACAGCAAGCAACTTCTCTTGCTAAAAAAGTGCATAAAAAACTAAGTAAACACTTTCCTGATGATTTTATGGTGTCAGTCACTAGTTACAAGCTGCATGTAATGCTGACAGAGTGCAGTCTTTAAGATTTCTAGTCATCACAGTGAACAAGGCTTTAGTATTACGTGTGGTCAAACGCTTGGCAAGTTGTAAATGTTTGCAGTACTGGGCAGCTGGCAGGCTAACAGCAGCCAAAATGTTGCAATGACTCATTCATTTCTGAATATAACTAGATGCGAGTGTAAAACTTGCAATTTCATTTGAGCTAAATGTATTCACTTTGCTTCTAAATATTGAGTATAGTCAGTAGTTTAGTAGTTGACAGGACTGTGTTGCTAAGCTAAGCTAAGAGGCTGGCAGATGCAGACTTATATCGGTGAGTATGATTTTGCTGTTGGACAAACAAATATTCCCCCCGCCCAAAAAACAGAGTAGAAATATTCTTTTAAATGGAAAAATAAGTAGGCAGCTAAATTTCTCAGTTCCTAACTCTTTAACGATAAAAAATGAAGCTACAGGGAGCAACTGAATAAAGCCCTGGCGATCGCCATGACAGAATTTAATATCTGTGTGTGTGTGAATGTGTTTTTAAAGCAAGAATATATGTATGAGATGCTAACGTGCTATGGAAATAAATCGTGATTATGCTATGTGGGTGTATACGAGTGTATGTGGGAGAGAAATGTGTATGATTACGGTGCTGTGCATCTTAATAACCTTCAACACAGTGGAGACGTATGTACGAGCATGTTTCAGCTCACAGATTGAGAAAATTAAGATGAATAACAGAGAAGAATTCATGCAGCTCTGCTGTTGAAGGAATGATCCATATGGTGGTGCTGGGTTGGAGCACAGCAGTGGATTGGCTTTTAGTGCCTGTCACATCTAGTTAGACCCTTTCTGGGTGAACGGGTGCTCTGCCTCGTTTGCTCTTAAACAGGATCGATGACGGGAATCAAAGAGTGAGAAGAAAACGGCATAAATCGTGTGGTTGCTGTTAGCAGAAAGCGAGAGAGAAATCCGAGGTGATGTAAATGTGAGGAGGGGAACGAGAAGATGAGAGTGATAATTGCTCTCTGGTAGAGGGGAAGATGGAAATGTAGACAGGAGGGCTGGCGACAGGAAGCTGAAAGTGTGATAAATAAATATGCATCTCTCTGTTCAGTCAAGTGCTTGTCTTGTCACACTTTCTTCAGTGGCACAATTACCGATCGTGGCATAAACAAATTCATTATCCGCAATTACTGCCTCCCATCTCTGTCCCTGAAATGTGAACCGATAACGCCGACTTGTTGCACAACAACAACAAGAAGAAGAAGTCATAAACAACAAGCGAAAGGCTTCTGCTGCCCACGCTGCACTCCTCTGCAGAGTGTGTGTGCAGCTCTCCATCTCCGCTTAGAGTGGAAAAGCTCAGACTACCACCGATGCTGGTTTCCATGGCAACCCCCGTGAGCTGAACTCCCCCATCTGTCATGGCTGCCAGCCAGGCAATGGGACTGTTGGTGTGAGTATGTTTAGATATGCCTCTCTCTCCGTCCATCTCTACCTCTCCCATCTCTACCGCGCTGCTGAATTGCCAGAGGGGATGCTGTGCTGTGCTCCGTGTGAAGGGCAAACAGGGTTAGGCTCACATAAACAGCAACATACCCACATGTATACACACACATAATACCCTGTAACACACTCTCACAAAGCCAAAATGATCTCAGACACCTTTCTGATCTGTCAGCTCCAAACCTTTCCTCTGAATAAATACTCCAATAAAAACCAATAGAAGCCTTTATCTGTGAATAGAAAAACGTGATCAGTTGAGTCTTAAGGTCACTGGCTGGCCTTTCCCATAACGAGCCAGAGCCCCGAGGGTAGACTTGGTCCTTCATTGCATGGCCTCTCCAACTGGAAAATCAATTCTTTCCTTTACTCCAACCTCGCTCCCTTTGTGCATCTTTGCCCTTCATGCCATGTGAGCCCAGCCTCACTTGCTTCCTAAAGTAATTCCCTTTCACTGAGAAGGATGCAGAACAGGAGGAGAAAGGGAAAAATAAAGAGAAGGTGAACTGAAATGAGTGATTAGATGAAATGGGAGTGAAAATAAAACTTGAGCGCAAAACTGTGGAGGGTCGAGGTCAAGTTTAAGTGTGATGAAAAGGAAAGACAAATATAAAATATGTAGAAAGTCCTATGCAGAATGGTATCTGAAAGGAAAAGTGTTGCAAAATGAAAAAGGGGGGAAGAGATGTTGGAAAGACTATTTTCAGGTCGAGAAGGCAGGATTACCTCCAGTCTG